TTAATAATCCTCCAGATCGTCGTGTTCTTGGTAATTGTCCCGTTGAATAATTCATGAAACCGAATTCTGGTGATACTCCCCTTAGAGCTTCGGCTTCTTCTAAACATCTTTGTTGACCATTTGTTATAGCTTTTACTTCAGCTTCCACTGAAAATCCACTTTGAACATATGTTGGAGTATTTTCGTTGTGGATCATTTGGAAAAGAACCCCATTGTCGATTATTTGGTGATGAACCCCATTGTTGAGTATTTGGTAGTGTGCCCCCATTGTGGAACATTTGATGATGAACCACATTGTTGAGTATTTGAAGGTGTATCCATTGTGAAACATTTGATGAAGAACCCTATTGTTGAGCATTTGGTGGTGTACCCCATTGCAGAATATTTGATGATGAACTCCATTGTTAATTATTTGGTGGTGTGCCCCATTGTGGAACATTTGATGATGAACCCCATTGTTGAGCATTTGGAGGTGTACCCCATTGCGGAATATTTGATGATGAACCCCATTGTTAGTTATTTGATGATAAACCCCATTGTTGAACATTTGGAGGTATACCCCATTGCTTAGAACCATGAGTCCATTGTCCATCCGAATTTTGACCCCATGAATTATTACCACCAGAACACGGACTACCAGAAATACCGCTTAAATTTGAACTCCCAAAATTTTGACCCGAGCTTAACATATTTCCCACAAATTCGCTGTCTCGTGTATATCCAGTGAGAGGTTGTAAAAATTGTAACTTATCTTCTGTGGACGCAACTGTTGTAAATTTTGGCGTTGAAACTCTCTGAAACCAGCCATTGTATTTATTAGGGTAGACTCAAATGATTGCTTTATACAACTTCCTCGTAAACTACTTCTTGCAGAAACTCATGAGGTTCCTACAATTCTGTGTTAAATTCTTTCACGTCTGATTTTTACTTGTTGTTGAGCTATAGAAGCAGGAATATGAAATTGCACAACCGGTGGAAAATTTTGATGCATGGACTCGCGAACAAACTCATTCGAAGGACGTGTTGCATCGTCAATGTTAACACGATATACGTCTTCATTTTCTTGTGTCTCAGGAATTTGAGTTTGTGGGAGATCACCACCAAATGATTCCGAGTACACATAATCTTCTTCAGTGGCTAAACCCTCATTCATCATCTCAACTCTTCTTTGGTGTGTAGAGTATTGGGATTGCGATCAAACGTCGTATAATGTAAAACAACGTTCCATCACATCCCAAAGCTCTGGCGGTTTTTGTTTAAATAAGTTTATAATTTTACACACCTGTCCATAAAATTATAAAATTTATAGTTAACACAATCTTTTAAGTGTAAGGAAACTTAAAACATTTGGGGTGTGGATGATATTTTAGGTACTTACTTCACGATCTTTCCACCATGAGTCAGATGCAGATATTATAGTGGTAATATGGTCAACCGAGATGCATGTAGACTGATGCATAAGACTCGAATACTTCTTGTACTTTCTTTTTAATTGATCAAGCTTTTCTCTGAAGAACTTGTAGTTTACGGCCATATTAAATTTTTCGTTGAACTTGTAAACAATAAACTCTTTACCATATGATGTTGGATCTTTCAGTTGGTAATTATTCATGGCTATAGCTTGATCATATAACTCAAGAAATATTCTTTCTCGAGTAGGAGTCCATTTAAAATTTTATCCGCACTACAAATTTCAAAAATACAAAAATTTATTTATAATTTTAACTAAAATATAACTATTAAAAATAATAATAATCATTTACTTGTGCTGATCTTTCTGTTACATGACTGGTATTTGCTTGAGAATTTGTGTTTTGTCCACGATTAACAGGCATATCTACAAAATTTGAAAATAGTATTAGTTTTTATTAGATATTATTTTAAAATATATATGGAACAAATTACACTCTACCTAATAAATGATAAAAAATATGTATGGAAAAAAATTAATTATTTTTCAGTACCGTAGTAAAATTAAATTTATTTCTAAGTGCACACTACCTAATAAATGATATAAGTTTTAGATTAAAATTCTATCTATTATTCTTTTATTTTATTTGATAATCGCCAATCCTATCTACTGTGATAAAAAATACACAAACTAAATCTCTCAAATGCTAATATTTTAAAATTTTTTAAAAAATTTAGTCATTGAAAAATAACTAATTCAATTACTAAATTAATTTTAATTAGTTTTCTAAGTACTATCACATAAATCTCAGATGCTAGTCTTTCAACATATTATGATTTTGTTATTCACTAAAATATAACTAATTTAAAATACATCTACTATATAACTAATCAACATAGTTTATTTTTATATCCTTTACATATCTCACTTTTAAATATATATATATATATATATATATATATATATACCTTGGCTTTGGGAATGTTGAGAAAGGATGTAAAATTGAACTAAAAATTTGGTTGCTGAGTTGAGATGTATATAAAGTAACTTGCATGAATTGTTAAAAAAAACTAATTAGATAAAATTTAAAAAATACATGCATGCATGCATGTATTAGAATATGTTTATAGAACAATTGAAAATAACATGCATGAAGTAATTATACTAATTTATATGAATGTCTATATTATAAAATAAGAATTTTTTTTTAACCAAGTACTAATGATTTTATTTATAAGGTAACATGAAAAATATTTTTTTAAGTCTAATCAAATATAAGACAATAATTGTATGCATGTCTTAGAATATATGTATAGAAAAAATTCAATTTACTTGCATAAATTTATTATACTAATTTTACAATTTATATAAATGTCTACATATAACAATTATATTTTTTCTATTGATTTTTTTAAGGAAACCTGAAAATTGTTTTAAAAAAAAAATCTAACTACACAAAGATAAGAATCACATGCATGTATTTGAATATGTGCCTTAGACAAACATATATATAACAATTTTCATATAAAAACTTGTAGATAACATGCATGAATTTATCATAATAATTTATATGAATATCTATATCATATAATAAAAATTATTTTTTCTAAGCAAGTAGTAATGATTTTATATATATATATATATGTCCATAGTAAAAATTTTGAACCATTTTTTGTGTTTACAAAGAAAATAATTAAAAGATTTACTAAAAACTAGTGGACATGCATATTAGAACATGTTTATGAAATAATATTTAGGACTAATATCTATTTAAACATCTGCAATTGACAACAAAAAAATCAAATAAGAAACATATTTTTTCACTTCAATATGAAATTATGTTGAGAACTGTAAAAAAATGTTAATAGTAAGTTGTGAATGTCTAAAGAAAAAAAAAAGTGATTTATTTATATTGAATTTAAAAGAAAAAAAAAAGAAAAAAGAGAAAATGATGCAGAACAGGCGGACTGGTGGAGAGTTGCTGTAGCTCATGCATGCTTCCTATTTCTTGAGAAAATTTGCTTTCATTCAGTTAATTATTAAAAAATTATTATTTTGTTTAGTTTTTTTATGCTTTGAATGACTACACAAAAGCAGTTCTCCATTTTTTACGGATAACCTGTTTTTTCCCATGTCCCATTCAAACCTTATACATAGAGATATATATGCATAGATACATTCTTTTAATAAGTTTTACAACATTCAAAAATAGAAACCTGCAGACTGTACTCTCTCTCCAATTATTTGTCCATTTTGGTGGAGCTCTTTTATTTTTGTAAGAGATACTTTTTCTTTTAACTGAATAGATTAATTAGTAAATGGTAACTTTTGCAAATTAGTAGTATTGTTAAATATTTATGAACCAATATAAACACATAAATGTTACATACAAAACTACTAAAAGTTAATTTAATTGTATTTGATTCACGATATGAATTAAACTTGTCTAAAACAATTAAACACTGAATTTGGTTGCAACATGAACTAATATACACTAAATTTGTTTATAACTAAATTTGACAAAAAAAAATTAAGAACAAAATTTAAATAAATTTAATCCACTATATAAACTTCATTAGATTTCACCATGTTTCAAAAAAGATTGAAATTTTTTCGTATGTTTAGGAAAACATATAAATTTGGTCCATCATGAACTTATATTAACAAATCTCTTAATTTTAATTTAGTTTATGATTAAATACGTCTACTAAAATTAAATACTTTTTTTTTGGTTAAAGACTAAAACTAAATACTTAAATTTGTTCTACAATGAACTAAGTTTTTCAAAAAGAATTATGAAGATTTAAAGTTAGTTCTCTATATCATTTTTTCTACAGAAAATGTGAAATTAAATTTATAGTCCAACAATATGATAGTAATTTGAAAAGAAGACATTTGAATTAAGGGGTTTTTGCTAAAAGTAACTTAAAATTTGACTTTGAATACAAAAGTAGACCTCTAAAAAAACATTTAGCAGAAATAACCTAAAGAGGTAGTGAAAAGACCATTTAATATTGTATGAGTAAACAAAAAACGGTTGTCCTAATTACCGTTTACACCCTGACGAAGTCTACTAAAGGGAAAAAGAAGTCTACTATTAGACTTTTTTTATCGAAATGAAGTCTACTAAATAATTAAATCTAGAAATTTAATTTTAAAATTTAGAAAAAATGATTTTGGTATCAAATTTACATTCATAAATTCTGTAATTGTAACCCAAATATACATAAATTATTTTTTTTCATATTGCTAAATAGAAATTTATGTTTTTAAAGTAAGTAGAAGAAATTTTATTATTTAGGTTTTAAAAGTTGTAGACTTCTATATTGAAGTCTGCTAAACCGAATAAAACCAAGATTTAATCCGAAATTGAGATTTAACCGAAATTGAACCACACAAAAAAAAAATTCTCTGTCATATAAAATGTATTTTACTAAAGAGAAAACATTGTTGATAAGAAACCCTAGCCGTTTCACTCAAGCTGTGTAACAGGCGATTTCTTTGCTGTCGCCGAATTCCTCTGGTAGGCCGGAATTTTAGCTCGCTGGCGCAAAACGGTAACTCCTCACATGTCTTCTTTTCACCGCCGATGAAAACTCTCTCAAGATCTGTTTTTTTTTTTGTAGATCTGCTTGCGGCCACAGTCGTTGGGTTTGTTCATGACCCAGATTCATCGGCTTACGCTCGATTCGTCGCTGTACATCCATCCTCGACCGGTCTTATCTCCGATGGAATCGACGGTGGAAATCTCGGCTCCGGATCGGTTATCAAGACGGTTGTTTCGGCTCCTCCGGATGAAGAGAAAGAGGAAGCTTGTGAACAGACCTACGGGTTTATGCCGTGTACTAAGACGGCGCTTGGAAACGTGTTTTTGATTTTGGTTTATGGATTTCTCATGTTCACGGCGGCGACGTATCTCTCTGCCAGAAGTGAGCTTCTACTTAAGATCCTTGGCCCTGGAATCGTCGGTGGTTTGTTTCTTCCGATGCTCGGCGCGCTTCCTGACGCTATGCTTATTATGGGTATGTGAAATGTTTGTCTTTTTTTTTTAATTTGAAATTTGAAATTTAGATCTCGAGAATTCATTTGGGCGAGAAAGACAAATTTTTGAAGAGAACCCACAAAAAAGTGAATCTTTGTTAGGTTCTGCGAATCAAATAGTGAGTGATGAAGAAGATACTTTGATGGTAACTGATGAACTCATAACTTTTCACCTTCCACTCTTTAGCCAATCTTGTCTTCTTCTTTTTTTTTTTTTTCATTAGAACTTTTGATGTGAAGTTATTATCTTTGCTCCTTTTTTTTTTTGCTCTTGATGGTTCTTCAAAATTGTATTAATGTGTTGCTGTTTCTCTCCAGTGTCTGGACTTTCTGGAGACGCAGCAACTGCTCAAAGCCAAGTCTCTGTGGGAATGGGTTTGCTCGCTGGCTCCACCGTTATGCTCCTCACTGTAATCTGGGGAACTTGCACTGTGGTTGGCAAGTGTGACCTTCGTGATACAATTGCTGTAAAAAACCAAGACACTAAACGCTTCAGTCTTAAAGGTAACCAAGAAGTGATGGATTCTTCATTTTGTGTTGACTTATGCGGGTTCCTTACTGTTGTGTGTTTACTTGTGTGTCTATAGATTCTGGTGTAACTGTTGATGTTTGGACCAGCTATGCTGCAAGGATAATGGCTATATTGGTTATTCCGTTTGTCATTGTCCAGCTTCCACAGATGTTGGACTCAACGATTGGAGCAACGATAGGCCATTCGATATCTGAAAACACAAGCAAACACATTCCCACATAACCTTAGGTAACGATTGGAGAAAGTTTTGGTTTTGAGTAGTAGAATTTTATGATAGAATGTGTTTAATGGCTCTGTGATCTTTATGCTCCTATTTTTGTAGCTTTTGAAAATGATAGATGATGGACAAACGGTTGATATAGAGGGAATTTCAGAAAGCGCTTTGAAGAAGCGGTTGAAGAAGCTGTTTGACATATTCAGAGTTCTGTTTGACAAAATATATGAAGTAGACTTGGATTTTCCATCTTATTCCCTTTCTCCCTTGGTTTTTTGGATTTGGTGTTGATGTCTACGCCACAGCTGGATTTTTAATTGTAATTTTTATGTGTATATATCAAATGTGATGCTATTTTATGCATAATGTCTTGTTAATATAATTAAGTTATTCTATATAGACACAAACATCATATAATCCAGAGTGATAATGCAAAGAAAAGTTTCACAAACTAATTCCAGATAAACATGTTTTAATTGCCTATAAAGTATGCCAAATTCATAGAAAAAAAAACTGGATTGATGTCACTAGCAACATAACTTACAAATGCCTAACTCTACAATCCTTTACAATGAAGTAGAACTTAAATGCCAAACTCAAACTTTATGAGAAGTATGTATAAGTATGCTAAAAGCCTAATCAAATGAAAACATTAAACTCATACATATACAACAACATTATCTAGTATACAAATAAACCATACTAGCAAACAAAACTAGGAACCAAATTATTGCAAACACATAAGATATAAATTTTTTATATAAGAGACTTTGTTTGGAGACTTCATGTGCAGACTTCATGTGCAGACTTCATGTGCAGACTACAGTAGTAAACTACACGACGAAGTCTACTTTGATAAGCTAAGTAGCTTAAAAATCAAAACTTCTGATTCAACAATAAATATCAAATGAAATGAAATGAAATTCACTGGGTACTTCAATCACTTACTAAAAAGCATTTCTAATCCAAAAAATTAAAAAAATACTTTATAAATTTGCCTAAAACGCGTTTTTAAAAAAACTGCAATAAGTAGACTTCTACAACAGACTTCAAACGTAGACTGGAGGAGAAGTCTATTTTTTCATAGTGAAGTCTACTAAAGAAGTCTACTAAAAGACAGGTTATTTTTGCAATTGACCAATGCGTTGACTTTTCATTCAGTAGACTTCAGAATTAGACTTCCGGCAAAAAATGTTACTTTAGCATTTAATTTGACCGATGCATTGACTAACAAAGTAGACTTTTATTGTAGACTTCATGTAAGAGTAGACTTCTCTGACAGTCTACTTTTGAAGTCTACTTTTTCAATAGAAGTCTACGGAAAAAAATATGTTATTTTTGCAATTGAAATTTTTGAGTAGACTTCACTGTGAAGTCTACTCAAAAAAAGATTCCTTCTAAATTTGACCGAAAAATATAAGTAGACTTCCCAAAGAAGTCTACAATTTTTAGACTTCTTTCTGAAGTCTACGTACTGCAGCTTTCCGGAGTTTTCTGAATTTTTTATTTTTTAAAAAACTTTAGTCAAACACTAAAATGACCTATACGTTTTTGGTCAAACTACAAAAGTAACTTAAAAGTAGACTTCTTGTGCAGACGTAAACAGTAGACTTTAGAAAGAAGTCTACATTAAAAAGTCAAAATACGGTCAACTACAAAAATAACCTCTTTTCTTTCGTAGACTTCTTAAGCCTTCAAATGAAGTCTACTATGCTTTTTTTGTTTTCAAAGGATATCGAGTAGACTTCTCGTGAGATTTAATGAAGTCTACTTTTAAAAAGTCAATTGCAAAAATAACCTTATGTTGACTAGTAGACTTCAGTATACTTCACGAGAAGTCTACTTTCGCGATATGAAAACTGAAATATGGAGAAATTGAAGTGTGACGATTACCTTTAACAAAATTGAGCTCGGCTACAGTTCTTTTAAGCATCCAGAACTCAGGATTTCACCAAAAATAAGCAACCCAGATGTCAAGTAACCAGAAATCACCGAAAATGCATGACTTTTGGCATTGTAACTTAGCCCAGATGTTTTGGAGAAGAAATTATGAAAGAATGAGGAAAGTTATGAGTGAATGAGCTCAAAAATTTACTTATTACAGCTTTAAAATTGGTTGAGAAGCATTTATTCCATTTTCATGGTTGTTCATGGTGGTTGAAGAAATTGAAGAAGATGGCATTCTCGTAATTAAAAAGTTTTTAGAAGGTCCAAGGATACTTTAGCCAAATTAGAGAAAAATCGAAATAATAGATGTATAATGGCATTTTTGTTAATAGTTTAAGTGGGAAGGATAAAATTGTGAGAAATTGGCAAAAGTTGGAGAGAAAAAAAAAAGAGGTTAGTTTGGTGTTTGACTTTGAAATATGGGTTAAATCTGAAACTCTCTCTTGAATTAAATAATCTGAAAGGAAAATGTGAAATTAAATTTACAGTCCAAATTGTTTTGTTAGATAGATATTTTTATTTAATAATTAAAAAAATTAAAGAAATGAAAAATTATAACATGTACATAATTTATTTAGCATATGAGGAATTTAAGTTATTACAATAAAATCTAGATCATTTATGAAGATACATGTGTCCTATGTGAGAGATTTTTTCATCTCAACACTTATATTCAATCAGAAATAAACATATGACACTTAAGAATCCATTCTTAAAATTTTCAATTAAGGATCGGTTCTTAGTGTATTATATACTTTTAATTTATCTTAATCCCAAAAAAAACTGAAAATTCTTGTTAAGAGTCTGCGTTACACATGGTCTTATATGGAGTCGGAATTTTATACAAACGTCGTCGTTACAGTTTCACAGCACTTAAAAACTAATCAAACCCTAATTATTTACCAAGCAATAAATCGAGCTTAATGAGTACTACTTATCGCTTCATGCATGAAATATAGTTTTCTCAATTCGTTTATTAAAAAATGAAAATTCATAGATTCTTGAGTTTCATTAATACAACAGATTACATAGAAAAGAAAAAAAAAACTAAAATTTCTAGGTTACTTGCAAAGAGAACTTTGTTTCTTCTACGTATACGACTTATACCGAGTTATCGAGATTATTCCAACAAAAACCCCTGAAGATATCTCAAAAACCCGTCAACTAACAGAGATCCCCATCCATCTGAGTCAACTATCGCAAATCCTATCTTCTCCAAAACATCACCGTTAAAACTCGGCTTGACGTCTCCGACAAGTTTCCGGTTATCTTTGTCTTCAAGTTTATCGGTGAACCACCCATAACTTGCGTCCAACGATCCTGTACTATCCGCCATGGTGAAGAACTTCTCCCAGTTCTTGTACACGACTTGCCACGTCAGCCTCACGTCTTTCTCATCGGAAGTGATGTCCGAGCTGCTAAAGTCAGCTTCGATATGAAACTTGTCGTTAGGGCCAAACACGAGGTCTTTCCCCTTTTTGAGAACCGATGCTTTCTTTGTTCCGGTTGACACGTGGACGATGAAGCTAAGAGATCCGAGAGGGCTATCTTGATTTCCGGCGCGGGTTTATCCTTGCGGCGGCGTTTTGCGTCCCTTTCGACGGTGGAGACGAGGTGTTTGTACGAGATGAGTTCCGTGTTATCCAAGGCAAACGCATATGGAGAACAAGGTTGTGCGGTCCGTGCGGTTATGAGTGACTTCCACAGATTTTCCGAGGAGAAACACTTTAGCCACGTTGTTGAGACGCAGGAGGCGATGGCGAGAGTCTCAGGCTCCATGTAAAGGCCAAGAAGGCAGAGTGCCTCCCAAGATGGAGGAGTCGGCTCGGTGTGTTGATGCTCGTCGTCTTCTTCAGTGATCTCATCGTCGCGTTTGCGTTTCAAGGGGTTTTGTTTAACGGAGGCGGAAGAGGACAAAACTCGTGCAACAACGACGGAGGAGGTAGAAGGAGACATGTGGACGTTTTCTGGATTTTTTTTTCCTTTCTAATTCACTTGTTTAGGTTTACGTGAGCTCTTTGATCCCTATTTATAGTGATTTGCATTTATTATCCTAACTCATATAGAATCAGGAAAAGCATAAAAACAAACAAAAAAGGAAATAAAAGGAAAAATCAAAAAAGGAAAAAAGAGTAAAAAGGAAAAACTAGAAGAAATTAAGAATTTATATTAAAAACGAATTTAACCTCTCTAACTAGAATATATATTAAAAAATTTCTTAACAGAATAACTTTATATTTTTTAATCATATACCTGTTTTTAAAAAAATTGCAATTCGTTCGAGAAGCCCACGTAACACATGGAGGATAAGAATAAGAAAAATAATAATAAGCAATCGTTCACAACAATAGAGAATTAAGACAAAAAAAATCCACGAGGTGTGGATTTTGGATCGCTACTAGCTAATGGAAAGCATTCAAGCGATAGCCTACACGAATTTATCTCTCTCTCTCTCTCTCTCTCTCTCTCTCTCTCTTCTCTCTCTTCTCTCTCTCTTCTTCCTCTCTGTTCTGGCCTATACTATAGGCTACATGAACTAGCAAGGTCGTAGCAAGTAGAGGAGCTCTATGTATACATCGCGGGATATCCTTCACCTTCCAAACATGGCTAGCGATAGGCTTCTTTCCAGCTCATTATCGGCCTTCAAACTCTTAATTACGGCGACTTGTTGCTCACTCAGTCATCTATCACAAAAATACGCTTCACAATGGGTTCTCATTCACAAAAGAATCGATTTTCATGAGAATTGACTGCTTCTTACGTGACCTATTGCAAATTTGGCTTGCTATCTTGGCAAAGTGAAAAAGGAAATCATCTAGCGACCTAATGCAAAATTCCCAACAATCTTTCTAGGTTTAACCTTGTTTTCACGATTTTTTTTTTTTTTGGCAAGATTAAACTTCTTGGCTAGTTAAGCTATGGTTTTTTGTAAAATCGTACAAATTTTTCTTTAATTAATAATATTTACATGATTTTTTTTTTTTAAAGAAGCAGATTAAGCTGTGAGTGAAGTTTGTGGAAAGAGAAGTAGAAGTGCGCTAAAGTCTGAGATATTTGCATGGTTGCTTCAAACACTCCTAAAATGTCGATCTGCCCTAAGAAACTGTCCACTCTTTTTATTTTAGACCATTCTCCTAATTTCTAGGATCATTATTGACATTCAACTTAATCTTGCTCAACTAATCTTTCTTGGTTTCAGATTTGTTTTTTATTATTATTATCACGTGTTTGAATTCCAAAAATAAGAATTGAATGAGCCTAGTAGCGGATCAAGTAGGAGAAGGAATTGAAGACGGATGCATCTATGAAGACAGATCAGCTGATGCTTCTTGAATTTATCCTTCTCCTCGGCTTTTCTCAGATGGAATGGCAGATCCTTCTAGCTATCTCAATCACGAGCGTGACATCGACCAAGTTTGTTCTCTCCATCTTTCTTTCTACGTTCATTTTTCTTTCGATCTTTTTCTAAATCTTCTTTTGAATGATTTTCTCGATCTTTAATAGTAAAATAGATATGAATCAATTGGAATTTCGGATTCTATAGCAAAGAGAAATAAAAAGAAACTAAATTATTAGTTTACACTCGTTTTCACACATATTGAAAACTATATAAAAATGCAAATATATCCTTCTTCAATATACCACTAACCAAGTGGTGATGATTCAAATTCAAAGTTTGTTAGCTTTAAAAATTGTTTTTCTAATTCATGTTGCTGAATGCTGATCCTAAAGCATCACTTCTTCTTCAAGTCACTTTTACTCTAAGAATAAAAGAAATTCATTTACTAAATAAAAAATAAAAAAATAAAAGAAATTCAAACAGAAGATTACAAAACTCTATCGTTTGTTATTTAGGTAATAAAATTATTACAAGTTGATTAGAATGATGGATTAAACTCTTGTTCCAGAAACTTTTCTTGTTTTTTTTGAATTCTTGGTTTTTTTTCCTTTTAATTTTTAAATTGCAAAGCTTCATATGACCATTTTTTTTTCCTTGTAGGCACTCATTGCTTTGAAAAAAGGTTGTCAATTACTTAAGTATAGCCGGAAAGGGAGACCTAAATTTCGTTCTTTCAGACTTTCACCGGTATATCGACTTATTTTGTATATCTTATAAGTATACTGTACATTCTTTATACTCTTCAGCAAAAAAAAAAAAAAAAAACTTTTATTTGTTATCACGCAAGAGCTACGCTATATATGCTTAACGTTTTTTTTTTTTTTTTAATGTAGGATGAAACAACATTGATTTGGCTCTCACACGGAGAAGAAAAAGGTTTGAAGTTATCTACGGTTTCACGAATTCTCCCTGGACAAAGAACTGTGAGTGTTGAACAAAATTTTAACTAAAATAATACTTGATTTTATAATTTAAGAGAAACTTATTTTTTTCATGAAACTCACAAGCTTTTGTTTGTTTATTATACATGTATAGGCTGTTTTTCGAAGATATTTGCGTCCGGAAAAAGATTACTTGTCATTTTCTCTTATATATCACAACGGAGATAGATCTCTTGATCTGGTTAGCAAATACTAACGTAATATATTTTCTTTGATTTTATCCTCGTAAATTATCAAAACTTCATGATTATACTCCACAGATTTGCAAGGACAAAGCGGAGACAGAGGTTTGGTTCGCAGGACTTAAGTCTTTAATTAAAAGAAACCGTAATAAGCACGCAAGAAGTGAGGTCCCTGAGGTGTGTGTGCGTGTGTATTTGAATTTGTATATCTATAATTTATATTCTATATCTCTGATGTGCGATTGTAACTCATTTTCAGATACATGAGAGTGATTTGTTCTCCACTGGTCGTCCTTCTACTGCATCAATAGATTTTATATCAAACAATACTCGAAGAGGAAGAACATCCATTGATTTAGGACACCGTAGTAGCTCTCCAATCAATTTCAGAGACTCAGATGTGGTTTCAGAACGTGGAAACATGCTAAGACCAAGTACTGATGGTTTTCGGATTAGTGTCTCCAGCACACCAAGTTGTTCAAGTGGGTCTGGTCCTGATGACATAGAGTCGTTAGGCGATGTTTATGTCTGGGGAGAAGTTTGGAGTGACGGGATATCACATGATGGGGCCGTAAACTCAAAAACCGTGAGAACAGATGTGTTGATTCCAAGACCTTTGGAATCAAACGTTGTTCTTGATGTTCATCAGATTGCTTGCGGCGTAAGGCACATTGCTCTTGTGACAAGACAAGGTGAAGTTTTTACATGGGGAGAAGAAGCTGGAGGAAGGCTTGGACATGGTATTCAAGTTGATGTTAGTCGTCCGAAACTTGTTGAGTTTCTTGCTCTCACCAACGTAGATTTTGTTGCTTGTGGGGAATATCATACTTGTGCTGTTTCTACCTCCGGAGATTTGTTTACTTGGGGAGATGGAATCCACAATGTTGGACTATTGGGACATGGTAGTGATCTTAGTCATTGGATACCGAAAAGAGTCTCTGGTCCTGTTGAAGGACTTCAAGTATTGTCTGTTGCATGTGGCACATGGCATTCCGCGCTTGCGACTGCTAATGGAAAATTATTCACTTTTGGTGATGGAGCTTTTGGAGTTCTTGGACATGGTGATAGAGAGAGTGTTTCATACCCTAAAGAAGTGAAAATGTTGAGTGGCCTTAAAACCATGAAAGTTGCTTGCGGCGTGTGGCATACCGTGGCCATAGTTGAGGTCATGAATCAGACCGGCACGAGTATGTCATCTAGAAAGTTGTTTACCTGGGGTGATGGTGATAAAAACAGGTTAGGACATGGGAACAAAGACACTTATTTGCTTCCCACTTGTGTCTCTTCACTAATTGACTACAACTTCCACCAAATCGCTTGTGGTCATACATTAACAGTTGCTCTCACGACCTCAGGACATGTTTTCACTATGGGAGGGACTTCACATGGTCAGCTAGGTAGCTCGACTTCGGATGGTAAATTGCCTTGTTTGGTTCAAGATCGATTGGTTGGTGAATTCGTTGAAGAAATCTCTTGCGGAGATCATCATGTGGCTGTATTGACATCTAGAAGTGAAGTATTCACTTGGGGAAAAGGTTCTAATGGAAGACTAGGACATGGTGACATGGAAGATCGAAAAACACCAACATTAGTTGAAGCTCTAAAAGAGAGGCATGTGAAGAGCATATCATGTGGCTCTAACTTTACATCAAGCATATGCATCCATAAGTGGGTCTCAGGAGCTGATCAATCAGTTTGCTCTGGTTGTCGTCAAGCATTTGGTTTTACAAGAAAGAGACATAATTGTTATAACTGCGGTTTAGTACATTGCCATGCTTGTAGTTCCAAGAAAGCTTTGAAGGCAGCATTAGCTCCAACTCCAGGGAAACCACATCGTGTATGTGATGCTTGTTACACAAAACTTAAAGCTGGAGATTATGTTTATAACTCCAATGTTGGTAATAGATACGCCACAATTCCTACACGGTCACTAGATGGTGCGGTAAGACCAGGCAGAGAAACAAGGTCGTCGAGGATTTTACTATCCCCAAAGACTGAACCAGTCAAGTACTCTGAGGTCAGGTCATCAAGATCCGAATCGTCTATTGTCAGAGCCTCACAAGTCCCAGCTCTCCAGCAACTTAAGGATGTCGCATTTCCGAGTTCGCTTAGCGCGATTCAAAATGCCTTTAAACCCGCTTCCTCACTGTCCTCAAGTTCAAGAACAGCAATAAGGCCGAGCCCTTCACGCAGCTCTGGATTTTCAAGAAGCGTAGTTGATAGTTTGAAGAAGACAAACGGTGTTATAAACCAAGAAATGACAAAATTGCAGACTCAGGTCTGTGTATTATCTCAAATTCTCTGTTTTTTATTTTTATGAAACAATAACAGAATCTAACACATTACTAAAAAATTTTCTCCAATTTCAGGTTAGAAAACTGAAACAGAAATGTGATAATCAAGGTACAGAGATTCAAAGACTAAAGAAAACGGCAAGAGAGGCTTCTGAATTAGCTATTAAACATTCTTCAAAACATAAGGCGGCAACAGAGGTCATGAAATCTGTCGCTGAACATGTAAGCTACTTATTGTGGATCATGAAAACAATCAAACAACTTTTCATATAATAAGTCATTGTTTCATTGATCATTTTCTACTTTTGACAGTTGAGAGAGTTAAAAGAGAAACTACCCCCTGAAGTGTCTGGATGTGAAGCTTTTGAATCAATGAATTCTCAAGCCGAAGCCTATCTAAATGCAAGCGAAGCATCTGAAACAACATCTTTACCTACAAATTTGGGTATGAGTCAACAAGACACAACCCTTTCTGAAAACACACAAGAACAATCATCATCTAATGGAGGTACCATGATATCTCAAGAACCTTCAAACATAACAGATACAACTTCTCACCCGCCAGATTCAAGGCCACCAACAGAAGCGTCATCATCACCATCAAAATCAGGAGGCAAGGAGCTTATCGAACAATTTGAACCTGGTGTTTATGTTACTTATGTACTGCACAAAAACGGCGGAAAGATATTTAGAAGAGTTAGATTCAGGTGGTTTTCTTCTTCTTCATCTCTCTTCTCTATCTTGACGACTGTCTAAATCATTTGAGTTATTTGCAGTAAACGGAGATTTGATGAGCATCAAGCAGAAGAATGGTGGAATAGCAAAAAGGATAGGTTGCTTAAGAGATATAGTCATCATGTATCATCAAGTCCTAAGGCTTCAGATTCAGTTCCTACACCAGCTCCAATTCAACCACCAGCTTCTCCTACACAATCACATTCTGATGAAGCAGAGGATTCCAAAAGCAATTCTTGAAAGCCAGTCATGTGTATAATTAGCAGATGGAAAAAAATAGATATAAAGATTTACATTCTTTCTCTTTGCATTCTAGATTCATAAATTCATGTAACACATATATTCAGAGTATCAAGGTTTTGATCCATGCATTTCCTAGGTGGGGAACTAAACAAGTGTTTTTTCCAGTGGCTCCATGTCTTTTGGTGACTGGCTGATCTCCTCCTTCTAGCTTAGTGCCAATTTTTTCTTCCAGCAATTTTCTACGCAAAATCGATGCATAGATGGTTGTAGTTTCAAGAAAGCGTTTCTTAGGGTGTTTGCTTTTATGTTTAATTTTACACAGTGATGAAGTATTGGATGTAGAACTCAACTAATCAATAGAGAGCGTTGGAGGTTTCTATCGGATTAGGCCGAGGAAGAGAACATGGGAAATTTTTCTCTTGTTACGTTATTTTTTATTTTTATTTTTTTGAATTGAATGTTAAATTTATTCAATAAAAAAATCGTTTTTACAACACATGCAGCTATTTTGCAGAGTTTTTATTTGAATTTTATCTCAAACTAAGCTAGCCAAGGTTTTTTTTTTTTAAATAGAAGTTTTTATCTTGATGCAAACCAAGCTTCCATGTCATGCCTAGTGTCTCCTGTTGCTCGGATAGATGACAACCTGTTTCTGACCTGTTTATTGATGCTTTGTGCCAATTCTAGAGCAAGCTTTTCTGGTTCACCATGTTTCCTAATATTTCTTTCCCTCCATATGGTGTATAGAGCAATCTGAAATGTGTATCTAACAGCCATTGCAGAGTATTCTCTTGCGAGTGATCCTCCCGTAGCTGAATGATTCCATTCCAATGGTCAGTGTATTTAGCTACGAGGGGCTGCTCCAGATTTGCTTTGACTAATTGCAGGGAAAAAAAAGGTGATTTCTGGTTTCAACTGGTGCTTGGCAGAGGATACATGACGTGCTGACTCCCAAACTCCATGTGGAAACCCGTTTCTTTTTAGTTCTGGTAACGAGAGTTTTCTTCGGTATTAATTCTGGTTCAAGAATCTTCTTTTATAACAGCCAAATTTGTATGTCATCTAAAATTCTCAGTTTTATCAAACCGTAAACTGAATCTAACACATTCTATCCAGTTTCAGTTTAGAATTGTTTTGACTCTTCTAATTAAAGTTAATCTTTAAACAAGAAGAATAAGAAGAAAAAAATACATTTGTGATTAAGGTACATATATGCTCCAACAGAAAATCGAATAAAGGGACCGGGATGCTCCTCTTGAAGGGACACTAGTAAACACTATATGGTTTTGTATATTTCAAGGAATATGACTTTAGAAATCATTTCTTGGACCCTTCTCTTTTGTCTCATGTATTCCTCATTATTTTCTCTATAATTATGTCTCTATTAAACAAAACTTGTGCAAAAATTCCCTTTGTAAAAAGTATTGTTTTAATTCTAATTTAACCATTAGACAAGAAAAAGAAGAAAAAAAAAATCATTTGTGAGTAAGGTATATTGAGATACCTTAACCCGGGGAAACCCTATTGAATAACTTGATTTGCAATTCACGCCAAAATGATTTTTCAAAGCAATACCTCAAAAGGGAAAAGAGGGGTGAGTATTTTGAAGATACTCAGTGAGAACGATCCTACCTGCCCACTTGATCTATACGGAGAATTAAACATAACTACATATATGTCTACTTAACCTAAGATTAGACAAACAACAATCATAAATCTTTCACAAGTACACAGAAACCTAGCACACAAGTTCCCACTCACGAGGATGTCACACTTTTTTTAACTGGTGACTCGTCAGCCACAAATCTCACAGGCCCGTCAGCCCCTGTACTGGTTACACTTCCTCTGTGTATGGTCCAGCCATGGTCCCACTTCGCGAAACGTCCTTTGTGAAGACCAGCAAGCAATCCGTCCATAAGCCAAGATCAATCATGCGCTCTAACGTGCCTAGACTAACATCAATCAACAATACATACAACAGTTCTCAAAGAATCATTCATGTTCGTTTTAATTATCAATAAATCTCTAATTATAGGTTCAGCACACACATATACAACTATGTCTAAGACAATTTATAGATCCACAAGTCCCGCCTCACCTTTGCCACTTCATGATGAACAACGAATATGGTTCACCTTCAGACAGTTTGACATACAACAGAAAAACGATCATAACTTTTTTGTTACAGCTCGGAATGGATATCGAAAGATTGATCTGGAAATCTTGATTGGAGATCTTCACTCCGGTATACAGATCGCCTTCTGAAGCTTCCTAGATCGCCGGAAAAACGCTTCACAAGTTGGCTGCTTGCGGATCAAACCTTTACAAATATGACTCGGGAAAACATTCATAATTTTTAGAAGACAACTCTAAATAATGATCTGTTTTCGGCTATAGCTAGATATGAGGATCTAGAATCACTTTACCAATTTTCGTGCCGATCTGAACTGATTTGACCACCCGATTATCTCTCACGCCAGAAGATGTCAAATCAGTCTTCTAGGTTGCTGCAATGGCTTCTCCTTCGAGCTGTTTTGATGGTGGCTGCTCACGCGTGACTCCGGCAGGGTTTCGCTGCTCTGATCTCTCTATCTCCTCTCTGTATACATGTTTGTGTTGCAGCTAAATAGTTACATTAATTAAGGTTCTACCTGTGTGATGATATTTTCACCAACCTTCTTAGCTTTCTAAAATTTTGTTTTCGTCTCTTTCAGTCTTTGTTTTGGTTTTTGTATACGTAAACATATTTTAAGATAAAAAATGAAAAAACGATCACCATGATCGATAAGTGACCTAATCAGTCAGAAACAATGTATTAGAGTAAGATTACCAAAATCTATACAACATTAAGTCTAAAAAACAACCACGATTAATAACGGTTACTTAAATGGACTAATCAGCTTTTTCATTTGCCTCCACTTGTTGAATTTGAACCAAACTAGGAATGTAGCTGACGAGACGTGGACAATAATCATATGGTTCTTGTCCAATCTCTCCATGAGCTTGTTTACATACATGTATAGTATGTTCTCCTCCATCGATGTAATTCATGATCACTTTATCTTTCCAGTCTCTACGACAACACACCACCTTTTATTCTCCTCGTCCACCACCAAAAAACTGCGCCGGTCGATATACTTGTTCTGATAATACCACCGAAATCCACAAGTAAGAAGTATTGGATATTAGTATCTTTGGCCTCATTATTGATCTTATCGGTCACCCATATCGTTATCTTTAATGAATCTACAGAAAGTCATTGAAGTAACACAGAAAGTTTCTCTTCTCTAACAACTGAGAGAGAGAATTTCACATTGAAATCATTACACTGAATGGGAAGAGAAAGACGTTTAAATCTCTCTCTTTTGAAATCAAACCTGACTAAGAATTTATAATCATCCCAAGCAAGCCAATAAGTATTTCCCTTCAAAGACACTGCATGACTTCCTATCGTCCAGTTCTGATCACTAACATCATCAAGAACCCTCCATGAATCAGATTTAAGTTCATAGATTGCAAACTCAACGACCACGGCCTTCAGGTCATTGTAATAATAGCTAGTCCTCAAGATTTTGTAGCTATCGCCAGATTTGTTGTTGCTTTCGTATCCTAGAACATAGTCATTCTCATATCGATTAAGATTTGGTTGTATCCATCTGGTTTGACCAGTACAAGGGTTCCAAACAAAGAGTCTATTGTCTTTGGTAGTGCACAATAATAAACCGTTGCAATGAAAGATAGTAGATATCATGACATGTTCTGAGTCAAGTTTACCAGTAAACTCAATGGATGGATCAAAGCTGTTGTCGATTCCTTGGAGATTGATGCTAACTGAATAAACAATATAATATTTCTTTAAGATCACCTGCGTTGCTGCTTTACCCATGTTCTCCTCGATGAAACTCTTATCTTTGAATAAAACGTACCATCGTCTACAAGTAGATCGCAATTGGTATAGAGACGTGGCCGGAACCCTAGAAAGTATTTCTGATTCCCATTCTTGAGGAAGATCGGTAAACTTCATTGTTTCTCCCCCGAAAGCGACGGCGCCGAAAAAAGAAGTTAGGGTTTTCTTAACATTCACATCAATATATAGGACTCTGGTTTTCGAGATTGCTGACATCATCATAAATTTTTAGAAAAAAAAACTTTAATCTAACGGTTAAGATATGATGAGCCCTTTTTAATCCAACCTCTCTCTTAAGAGTAAGTATGTATACGTCTTTTGCACTTCAAATGGTTTGAGTTTGAAGTCCATTCCATTGCAAGAATTTTGAAGTCTTTATGGTCTCTTTGACCAGTTCATCCACAAGTGGTCTTTAGTTTAAAGTCTCTTCGTTTCTCTCTTTATTACGTTTAAAGTGTTTATGCTTTAATCCCAAAGTGAAATTCTGTTGTGTTTCCTCTCATCAAACTATATTTTGAGTTGAAAACGGAAAAACTCGATAAATAGAATGTATAAAGTGAATGTTTACATTTTGTAATGCTAAGAGTCCTCTGGACCACGCTACAAACAGAGGTTTTGAAAGCACGATTAAGTTTCTTTTTCGCACGGTGGTACTTTTTTAATTAATCTATTTATGGTGTGTTGTTTATGTATTTATTTTTTTGTAGCAAATTAAATCCACTGGTTTTGACATTTGGATGATGATTTTTTTTCAGATACCACTTCATGTCGCTTGAGCTAAATATTACCACAGTTTTGTACGCACAATCTAGTTATATGGTCCGTACATTTCTTTTTCAGACACCTCTTTATTTGTATTGCCATGCCTGTAGTCCCAAGAAACCTTTGAAGGCAGCATTAGCTCCAACTCCACGGTTACACAAAACTTAATTAAAGCTGGAGATTCTTTTTATAACTCTAATTGATATGCCGCAACTCCAAACACGGTTATTAGATGACGTGGTAAGACCAGAGAGAGAAAAAGGTCGTTATTGTCCCCAAAACCTGAACCTGTCAAGTACTTTGAGGTTAGGTCATCAAGACCTGAATCTTCTATTGTCAGAACCTCACAAGTCCCAGCTCTCCAACAGCTTAAAGATGTTGCGTTTTTTTGCGTCGCTTAACGCAACAGCTCTCCAACCTCATTGTCTCCAAGAAAACCAAGCCTTCCCAGAAGCGTGGTTCATTGATAGTTTGAAGAACACAAAAGGCGTTATAACTTATGAAACAAGAAATGAAAAAATTGCAGAGTTGATGTTCTTTTTAACGTTAAAACCCACCTGTTTTGACCTATAGATAACAATATGACATACAGGTCTAAAATATCAAGTTGACAAAATACTAAGACTAGTCAAAACACAAACCGTACAAAGACTTGAATTCAACATATGTTGACACCATTTGCGAGAGAGATACAAGAAAAATTAGGGTTTCTAAGAAGAAAACTTAGAGACTTGTGACTTGTGAGTAACAATCTCCTTTTTTAATCCAACGTTTCTTTAAGAGTGAGTATATGTGAACCATTTCAATCTCCACGTGGTTCCATTCGAGTAGTGGAGCTTCTGTTTCTCATTCGGGTCGGGTCGCAGGTGAATTAGTGAATCCAAAAACAATTTTAAAGAGGAATTGTTGTTTGACTTCAAGCAAAGTGATTTAGAACAGATATTAATGAAGGAGAAGAAGACTAATTCATCAATTAGGGAAATAGATGTATCTGGAAGCTGTGAGACTGCCATGGCCATCTTATTGTATTTATTTTGTTTTTCTTCTAAATAAATAAATTGGTTTTCATAAAGCTTAAACAGGATTTACAAATAATAATATACACAGATTATGAGTAAAATTTATCATATTTATGAGTTTGAGTTTGAGTATTGAATTAGAAATTATAAATAGGCTGTGTATTTTTAAAAAGGCTTTTATAATTTGTGTATTTTTTTAGCAAATATTATCGATGTTTTTTAAAGGTTTTTTCTTTTAGAATATTGCTTTTTGTAATATGGAAATTATTAAGTTATTCCTTTTTTTGGCGCAACAAACTATTCATATTATATGATTCAAAAATATAAAGTTATTCTGTTAAGAAATGTTTTCATATATATTCTTGTTAGAGAAGTTAAATTCGTTTTTAATATAAACTAGGTGGTAGCCCGTATCAGGTACGGGCGGAAATGTGTTAAAAATGAGTCTTTTTACTTGTTCTGAAAGTGATGATCACATACTCTATTTTTTTTATAAATTTGAACAGTTAATTTTGATGCATAAAAAGATTGTATTTAGCTGTTTAACTTAAACAGACAAAAAATTAGAGTGATTAAGCCCAATATTGCTTAAAACCACCGTATTTGCGAATATAACTATGGTCCCACCGTATCTGCAGAATGGCAAGAGAAGAAGCAGAGGAAATTACCACCAAAACCCTCAAACTTTTTCCCGTAAAATGTTGTTAATATTATAGAAAGTATTAGTAGGGGCGTAATGATAGTTATAGGGAGGCTTAGCCTGCGCAGCAACAGAGAAAATATCTCTAGTATATCGACGCGGTTCACCATGAACCACTCATTTCTTTCCCGCCTGAATATCGCATTAAATGCTGAGATACGTACTAGATTACATTGACCCTTGCGCCATATCGCTGTATCCTCGTATGTATAGATAATCTTAGGCATTGCGTCGCTATATAATGTATTAGCAGTCCAGTCAGAGAAAACGCCATAGTTAGACCTCCAAACAGAGACAAAAAGAAAGAAATTTGTTTGTGCGATCTAACAATATCAGCAAGTTCAGTTCGAGTGCAAGAAACAAGGTACATTTATTCTTACATTCATTGCTTATATGAGATTTAAATGCAGATAGAAACGAACCTCGTACAGTAATTAATGAACGACTGCATTTATAGCTCATTTATGTTGAGATAAATTTGTTGGATTCGAGTTATACCACACTAACACACAATTACCGTTTACATATTCCAGGTGAAATGGGTTTAATGGTGAAGTATGTAAGAGGTGTGTGGAACAAAACTGCAGATGGTGACTGGGATTTTGAAGTGGAGACAACCGGAAGAGGGTACGGACTCCTGATGTCAGAGGGAGAAACCTTCGAGTCGCTTGATGGAATGATGAGAGCCCGGTACAGTCTCGGTCCAAACGACATGATGGCAATGACCTACCAGCCCCCTCCAAGCATCTGTGTAACTCCAGTGCGAAAGACTCCTCCTTTCGACATCATCAACAATGGCGATGTCCAACTCTTCATGGCTCTCCGAGTAGAGGTGGAGACTCTGGCCATTTGTGTTACTGTGGGAAACGAAAACGTGGAGCGCTACCGTTGTGATCGACGCCCCACTGGTGATGTTAGCGGACCGCCGCCTGGGTTTAGTCGTCCAACTCGGGAAATCCCTGGTAACCCTCTTGGTTACAGCGATAATTCATTTAATACCGTTGAACATGCAAAGTATGATGATAAAACATGTGGTGGACTTGACGATGTTTACAATTTTTGGGAAGGCCTCTTGGAGGGACCAACGGTGCTGATTGCTGAGAGTGTATTCCATGAGATCTTTAATGAGCAAGAGCAGCGGTACATCATGGAGTTTCATAATGCCTACACACAGCGGGAGTCTTCTCGTCAACCACCCATCGAAAACGATGACAGCTCATCCGGATCCTCCAGTGGAGAGTTCAACCAGTTGCTTCATGAAGAGGGAATAGAAAGTCTAGACATCGGAATCTTAAACGTTGACCCCATCTCAGCTCAGCCACAAACGCATGTAACTCGCGCAGTAGCCAACCTCTCCCTAAGGACTACAATGGGTGGAGGTACAGACTATTTTAATCCATTTTATGACATTGCCATTACCCTCTAACTATAGTGTTGTATGAGGTACATTCTGATTTAACGGCTAACTTTGTTACTACAGTAATTGGAAGCTCGGCTCTATCTTCAGGTTCAACGAGCGGTGGCCAGAGCAACATCCCTCCAACTGACGACAAGGGGAAATCTACGATGCCGAATGATGCTGCTGGTAGTCCATTCCTCGGATTGACAATCGCATGCGCCGGGGAGGGTAGCGGCGTGCCGAATAAGCCGGTTCTGGTTTCAGATGATGATCTCTCTGACCACGACGGAGACTACATATGTGAGTGGGACGTGTACCACCAATTTCATTAGTCACAGTCTAACATTAACATTATAGTGATACTTTCTAAATTATCCTTTATTCTTAGGTAATGGTGTGAACAAACCAGATCTGCTGTACGTGGGAATGGTGTTCGAAAACCAGAATGCTTTCAAGCTACACATGTCACTGTACGCCATTGCGAAGAAATTCCACTACCACAACCGACGATCAACACCGAATCTGATGGTGTTGGAATGTGTGGGACAAAGCTGTCCATGGCGGGTTTATGCCGTAAAGATGCAGGGCATCGAATGGTTCCAGATAAGGAAGGCGACGTTGACACATAACTGCACGGTTGACGATCGTGGCCAGTACCACAGACAAGCCACAACAGCGGTCATTGGTGATATGGTGAGGAACAGATATGCAGGAGGTCTGGTTGGACCAAGACCTAACGAATTGCGGGATATGATGCGGGATGAACATGACCTCCCAATTTCTTACTGGAAGGCTTGGAGATCAAGAGAGATAGCAAGGGAAGGAAGTTTGGGGGCTGCTGGAACGTCTTACAGAGAACTTCCAAATTTCCTTCAACGTCTGGTTATCTCAAACCCTGGCAGTATTGTGTCTTTGGAAACAGACAACGAAGTTGGTTTCGGGCAACGATTTAAATATCTCCTCTTCGCTCTTGGAGCAAGTCTGAACGGGTTTCCATACATGCGAAAGGTTATAGTTGTAGATGGGGCACATCTGAAAGGGAAATATGGGGGTTGTTTGCTTACAGCTAGTTGTCAAGATGGTAACCACCAGCTGTACCCACTGGAGTTTGGGATCGTTGACGGAGAGAACGATAGGGCCTGGACTTGGTTTTTTCAAAAGCTGGTAGAGGTGATACCTGATAACGAAGATTTGGTCTTCATCTCCGACAGACATAACTCAATTTATGCAGCCCTGCAGAAGGTAAATGCGTTGCTTCCTCAATGAAGTTATTACTCCGCTAACTAGTATGTTTACAATCCATTACTAATATTAACGACCAATGTAGATATTGCTAGCATGTATATGGTGGTGTTAGATCGGTAAATTCTATGTATTATAATGCATTTAACAACTACGATTTAAGTCTAAGTAGACCTGTTGAGATGAATTTAGATTTCATTACTCCGCTAATCGATCTGTTTACTATCTAGTCAAAATGTTAACGACTAATATAGATATGATATCAGCTCTACCATATTCTGTATCCGTCTTCGAGGAATATTAGCTGATGTAAGTTATTCACAATGTAGGTTTACCCCAAGTCTTACCACTGTGCCTGCGTCGTACATCTCCAGCGGAATGTGCAGACAATTTTCAAGAAAAGACATCTAAGCTACATGGTCTCGAAGGCAGCCAGGGCTTTCGTCCCTTCGGAATTCTATGAGTTTTTTGATGAGATTCGAGCCATGGACGAGGGATGCGCAAGTTACCTGACTTCTATCGGCTTTGAACACTGGGCGAGATCCCATTTCCCAGGTGTTCGTTACAACCTCATGACCAGCAATGTGGCTGAATCTTTAAACAATGTCCTGTCAAGTGCCCGTGACTACCCCATCGTCCCTCTGGTGGATTGCATCCGCGCCACACTGATGGGATGGTTCACCCGAACACGTTTCAGTGCTAACCATTGTGGTACAACCCTAACACCAAAGGTGGAGGAGATCCTTGCGACCAACTTCGAAATGTCAACGGGATTCTCATTCCGTAGAGTTAATGAGGTCGAGTATGAGGTGAGGAACAAGGAAGGCGTCCCATTCCTGGTCAATCTCGAAACAAAGTGCTGCAGCTGCAACGAGTTCCAGATGCTACGCATCCCTTGCCCACACGCTGTCGTTGCCGCAATCCGTACGGGAACAAGGGTTGACACTTTGGTGGCTTCTGAGTACACCACCACGTTCTGGAGAAAGGCGTACGAGTGCAGCATATATCCGGTAACAGCACCGATCCCGACCGTTGCAGTTGGTGACGACTTTTCAGGACTGAATTTGCTTCCGCCTCGTACTAGGCGACCACTGGGGAGGCCGCGCAAAACACGTATCCGTTCCCGCGGAGAGTTTGGGGTACGTAGATAATTATCATTTACTTTCCATATTAGACCTCCAATACTTTGGTTATCTATTAAAAATAGTTTGTACAATTTAATGAAGGGAACCCAGCCAAGCCTTTTCCGTGTTTGTGGTCGCTGTGGTGGACTCGGTCACAACCGCGCCACGTGCAAGATGCCTATTTAGGACGAGTGGGAAAAGAGTCAAGGAGAGAAGCAGTGGAGTTGGTTTTTGGTCTGCTTCTTTGTTGATGGGGCCATCCGAATTAATAACTATTTTGTGTAATATTTTGTTAAGTTCTGGACCCCTTTAAGTACTCCTTTTAAGTTTGATGTAATATATTTTAGGGGATGTGGTCGAATCCCCTCGAACTTGTTTCTTTCGGTGTTTAACGAAACCATGTTTCCTTTGTTGGTTAATGTTTAATGAAGAACAAAATCTATGTATGATTATTGTTAGCACGTACTTGAATTGTTAGATCGGTATTAGATTTGTTATATAATTTTATTAGTTCGCTAATTGGTATGTTTACAATCCATTAATAATGTTAACGAGTAATATAGATATTGTTAGCATGTATTTTGGGGTGTTATATTGGTACGTTTTTGGAATACAATGCATTAAACAACTATGATTTTAGTCAGAGTAGAACTATATTAAATTAGATAGAAGTGTTAAGAATTTGTCTGGAAATCAGATAATGCCAACGATACAAGTTCCACACAACTTGTCTGTTACCCTTGTGGTAAATAATTTAGACTTGCTAACACGTTTTTTAGATTTGCTAACAAATTAGTTAGTTCTATTCGTAATCGGTTTAGACGTAATCAATATTCGAAAACTAATACTTGAACAAATATCATGAATAATCGAAAGATAACAGTTCAAACAACAACAGTAATGCAAGGAAATGTATAAATAAGATTATCATACAACGACAATAACCCCAATCACATGGGATTACCAACAAGACCAGGAAATCATCAGAGTTCTTCAGCAAATTCCTCAAAGAATTTCACAGCCAATACCTGGCTCGCATTGACAAGTTCTTCTGGGGTCATCAACTTGCATCTCTCCACACCCCCAATACAATGGAGCATTGCAAAAAGAGCAGCAGATACTCCAGAATCAGTACGTATGGGGTTCTGGGGAATGCCTTTGGCTCTTTGCATCGAGAAGACTTTACAGTTGATGGGACGTTTGTAACCCGTTAACCTTTTCAATACATACGGCAACATCTGTGCTAGATGTGTAATCTCTTTTTTAACGGCCGCCTCCATCCGAAGTGATGTGTTACAGTCGATAGCCAATATCGACCCTCCCAGGACGTCAACATAAACTGCTATCCAATGCTCCTTGTCTACATTGAAAGGCAAATACAATCTTTCTGGTGGCGGTTGTTTGGGTGTTTCTGGTTCCAGGTATTCCATGACAGCATCGCCAATTACAAACTTTGGCCTGTCTTTGGGAGCAAGGTTTTTGAACTTCCCCCAGCATTTCATGAGATGAGCAACAAATTTCGTCTCCATAAACTCGGTCTTATTGTGACTTGGCTCGGGATAGAGTCTGTTATACACTGCACGGGCATAGAGCAACAGAGCATTCATCATCTGCAACCAATTGTCCGTGAGTTTAATATATGAGGTGAACACATTTTTATAGAATAAACATAAATCAGATTAGGGATGACCATCCCCAGGTCTTACCTTTGCCAACATGGGTTTAGTCCTCTTTCCGATTTCCACCACGTCTTTAGCAGTAACAGATGATCCATCCCCGAGGCTGATCACACTGCAATGAAATCCAACAATTAACAAAGCAACTCAAAACAACCACGAACTTTACAGACTGTAACTTACCGTAGCGATTTTACTGTTGAAAGCAACCGTGCAAACTTCTCAAAATAAATCCTCTGTTGTTCGAGAGGACATAAAAAATGGTTCGATCCCATGGAGGATGCCAAAAGCCGAGTATCAACCTGATAATCTGTAAAGGTCGTATTCTGGATCCTAGGTCTCTTACCCCTTCGTGGGGCGACATTGAAATCAGTAACATCGTCATCGAAATCATTGCCACCATCGACATCACAGCCGGTATCGTGGTCATCTTTCCCACCCTGAAAGGGACAACAAGAGGTTGAATTTGAAACAAGCTAACATCCCAAATTACGAATCTAAATGGGAGTATAGTCTCTAACAATATATTTGGACTTCTAACATATATGTTACTCTGCTATCCCGTGTTGTGACGTTGTTATATATTCCAATTACGGTACCTTCGACTAGTACATGGTTGTAATAATTTTGTTATCATGATAATCATATTGATACCGCGAATGTCATTACCGGATTGGTCGGCGGGACGTCGTTGCTGTCACCAACCTCGGAGCCAGACGCGTTAGTTCCTTTGCTAGCCATCACCGTTCCCTCCTGAGAATTGCCTTTCGCGGTGGGGAGATCCTCGCCCTGATGGCCATCTCGCTATATTCGCAAATAGAGATACAAATGAAGCAACTTATAAGTTGGTGGTAAATACAAGGTACATTTGAAGTCCAATGGAAGGTTAATATGCACTAACCGATCCAGGAAGAGCATTCACCATCCCGATAGCATCAGCAATCACGACATTTGGGTTCAAATCATCGTTTACCCGGGGAATGGTGGCACTCAAAGCGCGGGGAGCTGTTTTTGTATTTGCTGTATTACCCCCTTGACCGCAATCCGATCTCTGCTTCCCAACAGATTGTTTCCCACTGGCCGACAGCGACTTATCCAACAAACCAAGAATGTTGGAAACAAGCTCTTCCTGCATCTCTTTCAATTTAACATCAAGACTTGTCTTCAAATTTTCTTCAAAGCCAGAAACAACTTGGTCGAGAGCTGAAATTTTCAACAACGCCTCGGACAACGAACCCTGTATATCTGCGAGCTGTTCCTTAACAAGCGAACAAGTCTTATCCACGGGATGACTCGTACTGCCACCGCTGCCTTTGTCAGAAGTATGCATCCCAGAAACAGAATCCATTAATTTCTCCTTCTCTTTCTTCTTGTTTACCTCCTTCCTCTCTGATCTCATCTTCACAAGTTCGGCTTGTGTCATCCCCCCCTTGAACATTTCCTTCCTGAATTGGAAACTTTCGCCAATAAGTTGCACCACATAATCAACTGTGGGGTCTTCCTCGTCATCAGACCAATCAAGTTCCATGTTCTCCGTGCTGACATTGGGATCGTCAGGAATAATACTAAAAACATCAGCCTGCACATATGATTAGCGGTTAACATAAAAGTTAGATGTGTATTTAACGCCGGTTAACGTTAAACGAAACGTTAGACGTCAAACAACAATGTTAACTGATACTTACTTTGCATTCTTCATCTATCTCTCTCGCATGACCGGGACTGAGTCCAAGTTTGTGAACCTCCGATCTGGGATTAGTTTTGGGTGCAATCCGGTCTGTGTCCATAACTGGCTCGGGATCCAAATTGCCCTCAACGCCTCCTCCCGATTCAACAGTGTCGTCGATGTCAACCTCTTCATCTTCACCATCTTCAGATCCCGATGAATCGGAAGATTCATTTACTTGAACTACCTCGGTCAGCGCCGGAATAGCCTCAACCAAAATTAAATGAATTGCCTGAAAAAAACCTTTAACTGCAACGGTACTTTGGGCAAGTGCAACCTCGTCTTTTGTTTTTATGCTAGCGATTAACATCTCAAACCCAAGTCTACCCCATGGATATAGAAAGAATTCATCCAGATCTCTGATTAACTCGACATGGTCAAAGACGATTTTGGACCGGTGGTTCGTAGGACAGAGGACTGCGCCGGTTACAGCGAGACATGCATATTTCAACCGAGTGGTTCGGTCGGCAACGGTTCTCTTTTTCAGCATCTTTGTTGCTAAATCAACACTGCAAACTTTGAGGTTGCCAAACAAATCGGGCCAATATGGTTTCTCCTTAATCGGATTTCGTTTCTTCTTCTTTAATCTTTTGGGATACCTGCCGCAGGGAAGACCGGTGACGATTGCAAACTCGCGCAGCGAAATCCCAATAGGCCGACCAGCAAACCAAATCCAAATCTCGTGTTTCTTGTTAACTTTGAGCAGTCTGGTGATAATGTAATGCCCGAAACTGCCGGATAACGATGGTTTCTCTGCCGTCGCGATGAGCTTCCCAAACGGCGAACTGCGTAAGTAATTCCTCTCACCTTCATCGAGAGCATCCATGATGTTACCGATGGTCTTTGCTTTATGGTAGGAGTTCACCCTCTCGCCAGTAGGTTCGTCGCCGGCGGCGAAAATTCTGGGCGGTAGTTCTTGCATCGCCATTTTAAGATGAAGAAGTTGTGGAGATTAGATCTGAGTTATCGTATTTGCGAGGATTTTTAGGGAATTCAAACGAAAAGCAGTTTCTCTTTTTAATTTTCAAAATTCAAAAATGAATTATTACACTTACAGAGGGAGACTTTCCCTCTACTCTATAACCGCTATAATTAATAGAGTTATAGGAAGTTTTTTGGATTATCGTAAAAGTGAACAGGGCCTTTTCAGCTATACTGTTATGTTTGCAAATACGGTGGTATTCTGCGTTATGGTATGAAAATACTCAAAAAATTAATACTGTGAGTAATTTACATAATACTATCGAACGTGAAAATAAGAAAACTTGGAACTAATCAAACTAAAAAAAAGCAACAACAAAGACAAAGAGAGTACCGATCCAATATCCCAAGACCCCAAGATAGAATAGTTGGCGTGTTTTAAATTCGCTAAAAGATATAATGTCAGAAGATTTAACACAAAATATAATTAGATGATTACATCATTAAATTATTAACTTTGTTATAAATAAAAAACCAAACATAAATATAACAAGAATGTTAGATATTCAACCAATAAAAAAATATCTAACAACCATAATAAATATATTGTTCTATTTACTAAAATATTGTAATTACATAAGTTTATTTTTCTGTAATTCTTTTTACCTCTTCCTCGCCAGACTTCTCTCTTCATTTTCTCGTAAGTGTTTGTCATTCTAATCGATTATTCCACATGTTTTTCTTCTTCTTCTTTAACGTATTTGATTTATGTTTCTTCGTCTACTTAATTATCATTGACTTTGACTTATTCTTTATCATCTTTTTCTTTTTGAACAATTGTTTTTCTCCATTCTCTTTTAGTTTGTCATTGTCTTTCTCTTCCAATTATTCTTTTTCATCGTTTTCGTCTTCTCTGACTTAATATTTTTTCGGTTTTCTTCATCTTCTACATTTTCATCTCTATCTTCTTCTTTTTCTTCCTCTTCTTTATATTCTTATTTTTATTCTTCATGTTATTTTCTTTATTTCTTAATCATCTTGGACTTCTTGTTTTTTATAATCTTTGTCTTCTTCGATTTCTTCTTCTTCTTTTCTTTTGTTTTTTATTCGTCTTGTTTTTGTTCTTCTTCCTTCTTATAATTCATCACATTTTTCTTCTTTGTTTTCTTTAATTTCTTGTTCTAAGTTTCTCTTAGTTTCCTTTCCCATCTTCACATTCTCATACTTTGTCATCTTCAACTTCGGTTTTCCTTCCTTATCTTGAACATATATGTCCTCGTATTTTTCAAGTTTTTCTTAATCAGGTCTCTCTTCTTCTCCTCTCTTTTTTGCTCTCATCTTCCTCGTTTCCTTCTTCATCTTCATCTTCTACAACTTTGACTTCTACTTCTTTATTGTCTTTGTCTTCTCCAACACCTGCTTCTTCTTTTAGTTTTGTTTTTTCTTTGTCTTATTTCTTTTGAGTTTTCTTTAATCTATCATTCTTACTTATTGATAGACAAGACTTTTTAGGGTCTCAGGGCTATCAATCCCCTTGTCAATGTAGCACAAAGAGGTTTATCAATCCAGATGTGGTGTTAGACACTAAGCTATATGATCAAGTTCTTAATTCAAGCAAACAAGAGTGGGTTTTGATTAATCTAGAGACAACTATAAACATAAACAGGATTAAAGACTAATGACAATGACAAATGATATGATGTGAATATGATATGATGGAGGCATGAGATTCTAGACATGATAGTTGGTCAGGGTGCTTTGGTGTTAAACTAGAAATGCTAATGACAATGATGAGACATGATTCAAGTGATTAAGAACTCTAATCTAGGTTAATCCTCTCATGAAGGTATTAACCCCTATACTAATCCATTTTCAAACCAAATTCCCATTTGTGAAATATGAATCAATATGCATTAATAAACAGTTCTCAATGATCATTCAAGCATTTAACAAATCATTCCCATGATGAAAAATTACTTAAACCTCTAACACAACTCTTTCAGGAATTTAATCAAACACTTTTGGTGCATGAAATTCCCAGAATCTAGATCTCAAGTGATTATCAAGGATCTAGCATAGAGAACAGTTGTTTAGAGAAATGAATCAATGAATCTAGCCCTAAGCACTCCCAATCTAACACTTTAGCACCCTAACCTACACATCTAGAACCTCATTAAGGTGACTACTCACTAATCATGATCAACACACTAAACCCTTTGCAAGATGTGTTGTTAATCATGATTAGAAGTTGATTCTGATAATAAGAAATGATGAACCAGATGGAAAGAAACTGCAAATCGATTTAAACTCTCTAAAACAAAGTGTATTAAGTGGTTTTTCACAAAAGGGGAAAAAAGACTAAAAGTAGATTAAGTGTTCTCTACAAATTAGGTCTAAAAACCTTATAAAGGAGGCTTGGACGAATCGGATCAACCCGGAACAAACCGGGTACTGACCCGGCCTTGATGGGCAAAGAAGGGTTTGCCACGGTCTGGTGTGTCCTTGGTGTGACCGTGGCATTCCTGACCGTGTCAAAGACTTCATTGTGTTCTTGGTTCATTTTGATGCCACGGTCTGATCAAGCTTCATCTGGGACTCGTGGCAAGTTAACCGTGTCAAACGCCGAAGATGTGTAAAGGTTGCCACGGTCAAGCCCCCAGACCGTGGCATTCAGACCGTGCCAAAACCCGCATGCATGTGAAGTCCTTCCCAGCCAAGTATATGCTTGCCACGGCCAAGTCTCAGGCCATGGCATTGAGATCGTGTCAAAAGCCGAAACTGTGTAGAAGTTATCTCCAGCCACTTGTTCATTTGCCACGGTCAAGTCCCAGACCGTGGCATTAAGCTCGTGCCAATCGCCGAAGGTTGCAAGATGTTGCCACGGCCAAGCCTCACACCGTGGCATTTAGGCCGTGTCAATCGCCGAACGGTTGCTAAGTTCCTCTCAGCCAAGTGTGTGTTTGCCACGGTCAAGCCTCACACCGTGGCATGAATATCGTGTCATTGGCCGAGGGTGCACAAAAGTTGCCACGGCCAAGTGTGGACCGTGGCATTAAAATCGCGGCATGTTTAACTTAGTCATCATGGGCTGTCTGGACCATCTCGCATTCCGGAGAGTGTAACTTCCTGGAGACCTGTCCGAATTGAGTAATTCCGGTTGCAGAAGACAGAGGACTCATTTATCTCCAACTTTAATGAAGGAAGTTTCAGTGCTTGGGAAGTGTAAGGTTTCCTGGAGGGCACATCTTTGAAGCGCATTTACACGACCAGAGAGAGGCGCCTAGACATGTGTCCATTCCGGAGACCGTATCTTTCTGCTCAAAGCTCCGAATTGATTGATCTTGGATGTTCTGGAAAGAAGACTCAAATGCTCTGATTCTCATGAAGGCCCCGGAAACTGAATCGGCCTGGAAGTGCACCGTCCTTCGCATCCTTCAAAACTGATCTGCTCGGTCCGGAATACCTGCGAGACAGGGGTTCCTTCCGACTAGCTTATCTCTCTGCTCACGCGTCCGAATTCCACGATTCCACTTGCTATGAGACCGTGCTCCAATGCTCTCCAACTTCTATGAAGGACCCGCCGTCTGAATCGGACCGGAAGGCTCCCCGGACAGGCGATTTCTGAGACTCGTTCACACCCGGAGATTTTGGCCGATACACTTCATTCGCGGTACATGGAAATGGCCGGTAAAGCTTCCCGCGGTACATGAAAATGGCCGGTGAAACCTTCCTAGCCAGCGAGAATGGCCGAAAATCTCCCAAGACCCAATTTTTCCACTTTTTCACTCTTTGCTCACCATTCCACCTCCTGGATTCATCTTTTCGGCTCCATATTCACCTGATAGACACTCAAAACATGCAAAGACTCATTGGGACCTAATGCATCTCCTAAGTTCTAAAACAAACCCTAAGGACCTAAAATGCATGAAATAAAACATGATTTGGAATGATTTATGCAACCTAAATGATGCAAATTATGAACATATCACTTATCTCGTCTTTGTCTTCTTCCTCTTCTGCTTCCTCTTCTGATCTTCCTCATTGTATTTTTCTTCTTCTTTTTTCTTATTTTTTTTTACTTATTTTTCATAATATTCATAATCTCAACTTTTTATTTTTTCCACTTTCTTACTTCCCCTCTTCTTCCTCTTATTCTTCTACTACTTTGTTTTCTCATTTTTTCTTTTTTTCTAACCTCTCAAGCGTCTGATTCTTTTTCTTCTTCTTCTTCAACTTTCCCATCTTGTTATCCTTATGCGTCTTCATTAGTTTGGGTTATCCACCTTTTTATTTTTCTTTTTGGAATTAATTGATATGACTTTGTCTTTGTCTTTTTGACTTCTTCGTCATCTATTTGTCTTCTTTTCTGCTTCTTCTTCTTTTATATCCTTCGACTTCTTCTGTAGTTTTTTTCTCTTATTTTGAATAGGATTTACAATTGATAGTTGTATTGATTTGTACATAATCAATTTCCTTAAAGATAGTATAATAATTCTTGTGCAATAAAAAAAGAGAACGTAAGATTTGTGGGCTAACATGTTTTTTTCATCGTTGTTTGCTCTGATTATGCTACTTCTAATGAGGTTTTGTAAGACTTATTTTCATTCAATCAAAATCACACTCAGATGAAACACTTTTACAATACACAACTTTTCAAAAACGATATCTCATTGCTCTCATTGGAAATTAGACCATAATGTCTGTTTCACATGTATTATAATAATAAAATGATTAAAAGTTGCAACAAAGCTGTAGAAGTTCAGGAACAAATTTTCCGTCATGCTTATTTCCTATTTTGTTCTCTTAGTTTACTATTAACCACCTTGGCCATCTCTTCATTCTCCTTCTTCATATCAGTCGCATATTTTTTTGACATCAAAACAGCTTCATCATTTCAAGTATTATTTTCTTGTACCTTACGTTTATGAAACCACTTATATATTTAAATTATTTAAATTTAAAAAACAATTACAGTTAATATATAAATATATTATAGTATCTATCATA